AACAGTTGGGATGGATGTTGACTTTTTAAGCCTTTATTTACACTGCTAAAAATGTAAATCTAAGTAAGATGTTTTTTCCTAAAATAGATTTTTATTTTTTTTTATAGAGCAGGTATGTGAGACACTTTGCCAATGGAATAAGACAAGTTACATTTAAAATAAGACAAAACAATTGCAGTCATTTATTTCAAGTGCATAATATCTAATATTCTTATTTTAAGGGTAAAAATACTAATTCCACTGGCAGATCATCTTAGTTTCCTTCTCAAATTAAGGGTAAATAAACCTATTTTAAGAAATGTTTACTCATTTACAGAAAGTTTTTGCAGTGTATTCTCAGATCGTGTCTCTGAAACCGGAGGGGGAGGAAACTACCGTCTGTGAAGATTAGTTTCCCTTTTTTAAATTTTATTTTAGATATAGAACATCTTATCCAAAGGCTGTTATTTTTTTAAGTTAGTCATGAAAAATCACTAAATAGATGTTGAAGTTGTTAGGTTGGTTTCACTTCATGTTTGCCTTTAATGAATTCCATTCATTTTTATGAAACCATGACATTTATTAAGACGACCTTGTCAGAATGTAGAGTACAGATGGGAACTAAAAAGAAAAAGTCATTCTTTGAAAGCTCCTTAAAATAAATAAAACATTTCAACAATTAAGTTGGGTTATTTCTGTAGCCTTTTTTAGTGGTAAAATGATTCAAACAGCTGCAGATGAGAAAAAGAAAAGCGTGTTACAGAGGCAATAAAATAGAAATAGCTAAAATGTTTACGAAAATGAAGCGAAAGTTGAACTGAAAACTGAACTAAAAATGTTGAGATGTCAAAAGCTTCAACTCTGGATTTTATCCGACTGAGGTTTTCAGGGCTTTACAGCTTTCTGGGAGTTCATACCAGATTAGTGGAGCATAAGAATTAAAAACTACCTCTCCATGTCTAGTTCTGGTTCTGCATAGTAGATTTGATCCTTTAGACCTGAGATGTCTGGCTAAGCCGTTCACTCTTTTATAACAGAAGTATTTTAAAGTTTATTCTCTGAGATACTGGGGTTCCAGTGAAGGGCTTTAGAATTGGGCTGATGTTCTCCACTTTCTTGGTGCTAGTGAGGACGCTGGCAGCGGCATTGTGGATTAGCGGCAGCTTTCTGATCCACTTTTTAGTCCGACCTGTGAAGACACCATTTTAGTAATCAGTTTTACTACTGAGTCATTAATACTTTAATCCTGGAGATGTTCTTTAGGAGATAAAAATCTCACTTCAGTTTCTGGCTGGATTAACTGAAGCTGTATGCTAACTTTTAAACATTCTTGCTTTGCTCCTAAAGCTATTATATCAGTTTAGTTTTGATTCATCTAAAGAACATTTTGTTTCATCCAAGTGTTGATTTCCTCTCTTCATTTATCCAGAGCTTTGGTTCACAGTGGCGACATGGTAATGTACAGCTGGGTGTCATCTGCAAAGTTATGATGTTACTGTTGTTTTTGTTTATTAAGATTTGAGTTTAGGGGAAGCATGTAGATGAGCAATAAAGGGGGCCCTAAGATGGACCCTTGGGGAACGCCACATGGGATTTCTGTGGTCTCAGATGTAAGGTTGCCTCAAACCACAACAAACTCTGTCCTTCAATAGGATTTAAACGAGTCCAGATATGGACCAGGAAGGCCGTTCCAATTTTCAAGGTTCTCTAATAAAATGCGATGATCAACAGTGTTAAACGCTACACTGATGTCCAATAATACTGGCGCTGTGGTTCTTCCACAGTCTGCATTCATATGGATGTCAATGAACACCTGTGGTGAGGAAGCCTGACCGGAAGACATGGGCTGTGTCAGAATGTCCACCCTAACCCCTAAATCCCTCACTCACTCTATAGAGCGGGGACTATATGGTAGACTTTATAGGGAACCTAGTACTCTTAAATTACAGTTCGAACAGATGATCACTACTGTTGTTACCCGTTGTTTACGTAACTCCGCCTCCACTGCTCAGTGCCTGCGTATCTCCAGTTATCTCAGCTGTTGGGAAGCGACAGTGAGCCGCTGCGACAGCAAATCCCATAAAGCTTTGGGTGGAGAGCTCTCTGTGCAAAGCATTCTAGGATATATCTGCTTGTCTATTGACCATGGATGATCACTTCCTTTCAAGGTGCATTGTGGGGAATTTCGAGTTCACTACTTTTTCATCCACTAGACGTTCTGCCACTCATCTAAAATGGCGTAACCCCTATAAAGTGCCCTAAAGTGTGATTAGGGTGGACATTCGGACACAGCCATGGTCATTGTCAGGAAGGTGTTTAGATGCTGAATCTCAGCATTTTCAGTAGTCTTCCTAATGAAGGGGAGCTTTGAGATGTGCCTATAGTTCTACTGGAGCAGCTTGTCCAAGTTGCAGTTTGTTAATTGTTACTTTTAGGCTCTTAGGCAAAAAAAAGACACCGGAAAAAAGGATGTGTTTATTGTTCGAGTTACCTCAGGTTTTATGGCAGACAGAGATTTAAGGAAGGCTGTGGGTAAAACATTGAGACTGCAGGAGGAAGAGCTTAGCTGGTGGAAGATTTTCTTTAAAGGTTTTTTTTTTTAGTTTATTTGGTCAGATTTGGGAAATTTTGTCTAGATTTGTTCCAAAAAAAGAAAATTAAAAACAATCCTCTGGACTTTGTGGATTGTTGAGCTTCACCAGCATCTAGATTTGTTGTAGTTGGAGGCAACTTTGGTTCTGGGCTTGATATGAATGTACAGACTGATTATCTGATCGTTTTTCAGTGAATAAATTATCACATTTATTGTAGTTCCTTGTAATGTGGGGTTTAGATGTTGAAGGGTTGTTTGCCTGTTGGCTGTAGCAGAGAAATGCGCAATATCATTTGGTGATGTTGGTGAAGAAAGGTTTCAAAAACAGGTTTGAGTTTAACGAAAAGTATTTTCCTTTGTTTCAGGTTCAGCGCTCTCAGGATCGAGCTTTCCAGTCAACTGTGACTGTAGCTGACAGGAAGTACAGATCATCCCTCTGGTTAGTAAACAGACATCCTTTATTTCTATATGCAGTGAGGACCAGATAATGACTTTGATTGATTTTCAGTCATTATTAACCGTTCCTGTGCTCTGACCATTACCATTCCATGCCTAACCTTTACCATTAACCCAACAATTACTAGTAAATAACTTTTCACCTGGCTATTACCAGCGAATAACTGACCTAAACTGAACCTGCTGCAACTGTTAGTAAAGCAGGAAGTGAGGAGCAGCCACATTTCCATAGAGCCCTGTCTGAACCTTCAATTCAGGCAGATGTTCAGTTTCTTCTGTCTCCAACAGGGAGAAGTCCAAGAAGTTTGCAGAGCAAGCTTCGGCCATCGTCTGCCTGCGAGTGTTGGGGGTCCCAGAAGGTCGCATTGGTGAAGAGGATTCAGGCTTGGTCTGCAAGAGGAAGAGGGAGGGAAAGGCCAACAACAGCAGCGAGGAGGGGAGGAGCAAAAAGCTACATGTTGATGTCCTGCAGGAAACAGAAACCCAGGAGCCTGCAGTGGGGATGAACGGAGACAAGCAGAGCACAGAACCCTCAGAACCAGCAGAAGCTTTAAAAGAAGCTCCTGTCAGGTGAAACCAGGAGGAACTGGCATCAGGAGTGGACCGGGAGCTGATAGGAAACTCCATCCAAGAGCATCTCTGCTTCATCAATCAATCACTGAAGTCAGACAGGCTCAACTTTAAGGCTTTGCTTCAGTTTTCAGTTGTATTCCTGAAGAGCAGAGAAGTTTAGCTGATTCACTCAGCCGGAGCTGAGACATGCGCCGTTAATGCTGCTTTTTATTTTAACTAGAAATAAATCATTTATTTTAGAGTTTAGGTTTCTGTTAAAACAGCAGGTCACTAAATAATCCTCTGTGCCTTACTGTCTCAACTGGTTTCCAGTTGATCCCTTATGTCTCTGATCTGAACATCATCAGATTAACATTTTTTTTACTTTTTTTTTTTTTTGTCCTCTATAATCATTTTAACTTCATCGGGCTGTCTGGAGGGATTTCAGTCATTCTTTAAACACTTTTCACTCATTTAATTACAGCATAAATAAATGAATGTTATCATTAGTGTGAATTTGGTTTAGGATTAAATACGTTTTCTGCTTTTTTGTCTCTGTTTTTCGTCCATTGACTCGCATATCCCCCCCAGCAATATCTTCACCCTGCATGATGCTGCAGCTCCACTGCTGATTAGCTTCAATTATTTTCATTCACAGCTAATTGGCTGTGTTCCAATTAACAACAGTAACTGTTTTACCCTCCTTTACAAGCTTTTCCTAATTGAACCCCATCTACCATCAACAATACAGTGTACGTCATCACAGGGCGGTCTAATGATGCATTTAAGATTACTGGGAAATAGAAAGACATATCATTTAGGATCTGTAAGATAAAGGGCTGAAAATATTTCAAAAGATGCATCACTGCACCTAAAATAATTTGAGTATTTTTACTCCTGATGTGCTTAGGAGCGAGGGGGCAGGGTATATATATCTGGTTAAACTTGAGCATGCTTTCTTTCTTGCTGCAAGACAAACATGTTGGAAAAACGCTTGTAAAGAATTGATTGATGCCTTTTAATGTCGTTAATCTCACAGCAAATGTCTCATGGCCACAAGAGGAAGTATGCATGCAGCTGATTGTACTGATAAAGGCTTTTCGTCAGTATCACAAGTAAAAAAAAAAAATAACTATTCTAGAAAATGCACTGTTAAAGTTCAAAAAGAAAAAAAATGTATGTAGACAAAAAAGGTATTTGCATCTCAAAGCAAAAATGTTAGAATTTACAACAAATATATTAATATATATGTTCAGTTTCAGGTGTGATATTAACGACCATAGTAACATATTCTTTATCAAATGGTTTATAAATAAATATATCTGAATTCATCCATATTTCTAGGAACAAAACATGTAGGCTAGTTCAAGTCCTATCGTTTTTGTAAAAACCCGGTTACAAAAACTATAGTTTACGAGGGAACTTGAAGGCAGCACAAGCTCAAGCTGGAGCGGAGTAATACAGCTCCGACTGCGCAGCCGAGGAGAAACACCGTGTAGAAGTTGGCTCTATAATGACACTTTAGTTCACCGCAGTGTTGTGCGGGGGTGCGATTACTTATGTGTGAGCTCAGTGATCACTTTCAAGCTATTATTGTCGTGTAATTGCATGAGTCGACACAGACTTCTGCTTTCGTTCGGATGGAAGTGAGTAAGACGGATCCGTTTTAAAGACAGTTCGAGTTATCGGCTCAATGCGGACGGATTTCACCGTCTAACAGTTCAATGTCCACCATCAACTGTCCTGAGGAGCTGGACTTCAGGCTGCTGTTCGAGGAGCACGGGAAGCACTCAACAGGTACGTGTCATTTTGTCTGGAGGTTAGTTAGCAAAAACTCTCCGAGCGGGAGAGAAGCTGGCGACAGTTACACCGGAAGTCAACCATTAAAGCCTTCAAAATAAAGGCGAAGAAAATAAAAAGTTAAGAAAATGTTCTTATTTTACCGATTTCTTTTCGTTCTGGTGGTATATTACTTACTTCTGAATGGTTTATTTCAAACATTTTGTAAAGGAAATATTGTATTAAATCTTACACCCCTTCCCTCGCTTGGTTTCTTGCCCAACAGCTTAAAACAAACACACACGCGTTTGTATTTATATCCATATTAAGACTTTACCTTGAGTTTTACATTCAAACTAGTTGGAAAAGAAAAGAAAAATGTTTGCGATTAAACTGAAAATACTGTGGGCAACTTTTCTAGAAAACTTTACTTCCAGTTGCCAAAACTGAATTTTTTCAAGCTTGACCATGACCTGGATGACTGAGAATTTTCACACATATGGGGAGAATAAAGTTGAGATACTTTGAGGATGGGATGAAATGCTAAAAGCTGCTGTGCTGTTTCCAAGCATGTCTGATTTTTATTTGAGAAAACCTCTATTCTAACAAGGTCTGCTTCTACATTATTAAATTTAAGAACAGAGAATGAGTGATATTTAGTCTTCTGCATGCTTTAGGTCTTATAATTGATTGATTGACTTTATTGATCTCACACTGGATAAATGTACTCGTTACATCGCCTCAAATAGTCAAAAAGATGCCAAAGGAAGAATAGGTGCATGGGAGTATATACAGTATAATACAGTGCATATCCATCCATACGAAACAGGTTATTGCACAGGGTATTAAATAGTTATTGCACATTATACATTGCACAAGTTATTACCGTGTTAGCGTCGCATTGTATAGTTTGGTGGCAGCAGGGATGAATGACCTGCAGTAGTTTGACAAACAGGGTGTAAAAGTCTAAAAAGTTTCTGCTTATTCACAGAGACATGGCTGCTGCAGGTCTTTGGCCCAGGTTCATGCCCATCTTCATTGTTGGTAGATTTCTGGTTGTCATCTTAACTATAAATTTTTCAAATAAAACTTCAGTGACATATTTCATCCAATTGACCCAAATACTCGACTGTAGGAGGCAACCCTAAAACAATTATTTTAAACAAAATTAATACTATGCATAAGAAGTAAATCCACAAATTTATTGGTCTTAATTTCTAATCTGACTGATTTTTATTTACCTTCAGTGAAGTTCCTTGATATTAAAACTTTTGTAAAAGATTCTATGAAGTGCAAGAACACATTTTTTAAAGGCAGAAAAGTTCAATTTGTTTTTATATTTTACTTTTTTTCTTTCAAATTTCTCTTTTTCAGATTAATTTTTGTGTATTGCATTCTTTTTTTAATTGCGTTTTATGTTCGCTTTCCTCTGGAGAATGTAAAGCGAAGAACCATTTATATTAGTCAACTTTACATTGGCAACAATATTTTAATTGGTCAAGAGCAATTGTTTTTCTTGTGCTTCTATTGAGATCTGTAAAAGTCAATTTGAAAAAATA